GTTTACGTTCGATTGCGATAACAGAGCCGTGGGTTTTTACGCGGATGTCGAACATCATTGTCAAATATTTCACATGTGCGACGAAGATGGAAGAAGGATTCCGTACATTTGCGCAAACGACACGAGTTTCAATCAAAAATACAGAATATGCGATTGGGAATATAATTTCGATTGCGCCAATTCGAACGATTGGTAGGTACAAATGTCGCCCCGAACCCCCAAAACCCCCAAAGCCCCCCCCCCCAAAAAAAAACAATCAATTCGCGACGTCGGATTTAAGGTAATTAAACGCGTCAATTTTATTTAACGAAACCTGAAATTGTGCGATGAGAATCGTTGGGGGGTCATCAAAGGTCACGTCCCGATTAATGAATCCGTAATTAAATATAATTTTGCTTTGCTTTCACGAAATTTTTATTTATTGCAAATTTCCAACGAAAGCAAAAAAAAAAAAAGTCACGTGACGTAACCGAGGGAAGTAAAAGAAATATGACGACAGGAAAAAATCGATTCGATTCGATTAATCGATTTAAAAAAAAAAAAAAAAAAAAAAAAAAAACCAAAACGAATTTATAGCAAAAGGGAAATTTTGCCGGAAGCAAAAAACCTTGACTTGGTTTTTTTTTAACAAAAAAAAAAAAAAATTTGGAATGTGCGCGAGTAAGTAATTTATATTCAACTCGATTGTTGTTTGTTGTTTGTTGTTAAAGTTACACCTGAGTCGGGTGCGGACAAACAAGGCAGGTATCGATGATGCGTGTGATAAAAATGAACGCAATGATTTTCATATTATGAAAGGTTAACGTTTCGTTTCGAAACCAATTTTGACGTCATCAAATAATTTTTTATTCCATATCGAAAGGGATTATCGAGGATTCGATATCGATATTCGATTAAAAATCGAATTTTTTAATTATAACCTAATATTATTATTATCGTTTCAGGTATTTTCTCAACGAACTTACTTACGTCACTGACACGCCCGAAGAAAAAGCATACAGAGGTTAGAGTTAATGAAAAGGACGATGATGATGATAATGATGAGTATCTCATCCCTTTCTTACACCTTCATTTCTTATCACCATCGTTGTCGTCATTTATGACGTAGTCATTTTTCTTATCATTTCAGCCATTTTTCTTTTTTTTTTTTATTTTTACTTTTCGTTATACGTTTCTAATTGTAAATAATTAAATTTTAATAATAAAAAAAAATTATAATATCGTTTTCTTTTGTATTGTTTAAACAAAAATTAATGACATTTTTTTTTACGTGTAATTAGAAAAATAATAAACTCGTTTGTTTCTTGTTCTGGTGACACGATCATTTGTGTCTGTCGTTCGTTAGTTATTATAATTAAATAGTTAACAAACGATATGAAGAATACGTTCCTTTTTCTTGTAATTTAAAATTTCGTTTAACGCCCTAAAAAAAAATCAAAAAAGGGGAGGGAAGGAGGAGTGGAAAGGGGAGGAAGGAGTGGAGGGAGAGGGAGGTTACCAAAATGGCAAAAAACTTTCGATTTGTATGAAAAAAAAAAATTTTTAATTGAAATCTCCGCCCCGAATATAAATAAAATTTTTTTTACATGCGTGTAATTAAAACCGATTCGATTACCCTCAAATAATAATAATAATAATAATAATAATAATAATAATGATGATGATGAATTCAAGCTTCGGAATCATTAAAACCAATTTCGGATTCCGGAGTTAATTCAATTGTAAATTTTTTCGGTTTGTCGTGTCTGAACGATTTTCTCGGATCTGTTCTTAAATCTTTTAACGATTTCATCGACCTTCCGTATGCC